TGTTTCCAGTCTGTGTTCAGTCTGAGTTCAGTCTGAGATCGGTCTGTGTCTGGTCTGTGTTCGGTGTGAGTTCGGTCTGTGTCCGGTCTGAGTTCGGTCTGAGATCGGTCTGTGTCTGGTCTGAGTTCGGTCTGAGATCGGTCTGAGTTCGGTCTGAGTTCGGTCTGTGTCCGGTCTGAGTTCAGTCTGTTTCCAGTCTGTGTTCAGTCTGAGTTCAGTCTGAGTTCGGTCTGTGTCTGGTCTGAGTTCGGTCTGAGATCGGTCTGTGTCTGGTCTGAGTTCGGTCTGAGATCGGTCTGTGTCCGGTCTGAGTTCAGTCTGTTTCCAGTCTGTGTTCAGTCTGAGTTCGGTCTGAGATCGGTCTGTGTCTGGTCTGAGTTCGGTCTGAGATCGGTCTGTGTCCGGTCTGAGTTCGGTCTGAGTTTGGTCTGTGTCTGGTCTGTGTTCGGTCTGAGTTCGGTCTGTGTCCGGTCTGAGTTCGGTCTGAGATCGGTCTGTGTCCGGTCTGAGTTCAGTCTGTGTTCAGTCTGAGTTCAATCTGAGATCGGTGTTTGTCTGGTCTGTGTTCGCTCTGAGTTCGGTCTGTGTCCGGTCTGTGTTCGGTCTGAGATCGGTCTGTGTCTGGTCTGAGTTCGGTCTGAGATCGGTCTGTGTCTGGTCTGAGTTCGGTCTGAGATCGGTCTGTGTCTGGTCTGAGTTTGGTCTGAGATTGGTCTGTGTCTGGTCTGTGTTCGGTCTGAGATCGGTCCGAGTTCAGTTTGTGTTTAACTGCCCTGTAATGGTCTAAAACACTGAAGGGTTGACAAAGCCTCTCTATATAAATATATTCAGTTGGCCAAATCTCAAACTTTCCTTTCTTTTCTTTAAGAAAACAAAATGAAGTTGTTATTTTTTGAGTTTTAAATGTTATGTAAGATATAAAGTTAAATAAACTTAAATGAAACCTGAACACAGACTGTACTGTTTATACTGCTGGACAAACTGGACCTACGTCAGGAAACGTCCCAGGTTTAAAGCCTCCAATACAGAACAATGAGCGAGCGTCAGGGAGAGGAAACTATCCAGTATACAGACAAACAGATGGACGGACTGACCGACGGACGGACCGACAGAAGGACAGATGGACGGACTGACCGACGGAAGGACAGATGGACGGACAGACGGACCGACGGAAGGACAGATGGACGGATGGACGGACCGACCGACGGAAGGACAGATGGACGGACGGACCGACGGAAGGACAGATGGATGGAAGGATGGATGGACGGATGGACCGACGGAAGGACAGATGGACGGACGGACCGACGGAAGGACAGATGGATGGAAGGACGGATGGACAGATGGACCGACGGAAGGACAGATGGACGGACTGACCGACGGAAGGACAGATGGACGGACGGACCAACAGACAGGAGGTTAAATATCTAAAGAAAATACAAATACAAATTGTGCCAATGCTAACATCACCACTGAACAAAAACTAAAGGAAATGATCTGCTCCAAAGTTTGACACAAACGTCCTGAAGTTAATTCAGCTGATGTATGAGTTGATCAGTCGTTCTGTCCTGGTACTGATGTAGTGGGAAATAAAACACATCAGTCTGTCCGTCTCTGTATGTCTCTGTCCATCTCTGTCCGTCTCTGTCCATCAGTCAGTCAGTCAGTCAGTCAGAGGTCATCAGTCAGTCAGTCAGTCAGTCAGTCAGTCAGTTAGTCAGTCAGTCAGAGGTCATCAGTCAGTCAGTCAGAGGTCATCAGTCAGTCAGTCAGTCAGTCAGTCAGTCAGAGGTCATCAGTCAGTCAGTCAGTCAGTCAGTCAGTCAGTCAGTTAGTCAGTCAGTCAGTCAGTCAGAGGTCATCAGTCAGTCAGTTAGTCAGTCAGTCAGTCAGTCAGTTAGTCAGTCAGAGGTCATCAGTCAGTCAGTTAGTCAGTCAGTCAGTCAGTCAGTTAGTCAGTCAGTCAGTCACAGGTCATCAGTTAAAGGACCAGGTCAGGAAGCTGAAGATGTTTCAGAGGGTCATTTTTTTCCTTGCTGAAGAGATGAGAGTAAAAAGTAATCTGATTACACTCTGAAGTGTTGGATGTCCTCTGTCTGAGCCAGTCTCTGACTGACAGCAGGTATTGATCCAGCAGCAGGATCAGTCAGACTGAGCCTGATGGGTCTTAATGGATCAGGAAGGCCTGATGTGGCTCCACGGTCCAGATCTCTGTCTGTCTGTCTGTCTGTCTCTGTCTGTCTGTCTGTCTGTCTGTCTCTATGTGTCTCTGTCTGTCTCTGTCTGTCTGTCTGTCTGTCTGTTTGTCTCTATGTGTCTCTGTCTTTCTTTGTCTGTCTGTCTCCATCTGTCTCCGTCTGTCTCTGTCTGTCTCTGTTTGACCTTGAACGCCTCCTGAAGTGTCTCACAGCATCACAAACGTCCGCCCGTCTTCAGACACGTCTCAGTCAAACTAACAGCCAACAGAAACCAGGAGGATCATGGGAAATGAAGAGGAGACACAGCTGATAACCTGACCTCACCATGTCTCTGATTCAAATCAACTTTATTTACACAGTCTCATCACAGTCTGTCCTCTGTCTTCTGTCCTCAGACCCTCTGTCCCCTGTCCTCTGTCCTCAGACCCTCTGTCTTCTGTCCTCAGACCCTCTGTCCCCTGTCCTCTGTCCTCAGACCCTCTGTCTTCTGTCCTCAGACCCTCTGCCCCCTGTCCTCAGACCCTCTGTCCTCTGTCCTCAGACCCTCTGCCCCCTGTCCTCAGACCCTCTGTCTTCTGTCCTCAGACCCTCTGTCCCCTGTCCTCAGACCCTCTGTCTTCTGTCCTCAGACCCTCTGTCCCCTGTCCTCAGACCCTCTGTCCTCTGTCCTCAGACCCTCTGTCCTCAGACCCTCTGTCCTCAGACCCTCTGTCCCCTGTCCTCTGTCCTCAGACCCTCTGTCTTCTGTCCTCAGACCCTCTGTCCTCAGACCCTCTGTCCTCAGATCCTCTGTCCTCAGACCCTCTGTCCTCTGTCCTCAGACCCTCTGTCCTCAGACCCTCTGTCCTCAGACCCTCTGTCCCCTGTCCTCTGTCCTCAGACCCTCTGTCTTCTGTCCTCAGACCCTCTGTCCTCAGACCCTCTGTCCTCAGATCCTCTGTCCTCAGACCCTCTGTCCTCTGTCCTCAGACCCTCTGTCCTCAGACCCTCTGTCCTCAGACCCTCTGTCCCCTGTCCTCTGTCCTCAGACCCTCTGTCTTCTGTCCTCAGACCCTCTGTCCTCAGACCCTCTGTCCTCAGATCCTCTGTCCTCAGACCCTCTGTCCTCTGTCCTCAGACCCTCTGTCCTCAGACCCTCTGTCCTCAGACCCTCTGTCCCCTGTCCTCTGTCCTCAGACCCTCTGTCTTCTGTCCTCAGACCCTCTGTCCTCAGACCCTCTGTCCTCAGATCCTCTGTCCTCAGACCCTCTGTCTTCTGTCCTCAGACCCTCTGTCCTCAGACCCTCTGTCCTCAGACCCTCTGTCCTCTGTCCCTCACAGCAGATAAATTCACAGCTGACAGAGTTTGCAGCACCAACATGTGTCTGATGTCATGTTGTTTACTGATGAGAATGTCCTCGTATCGTCCACACGTCCTGTGTGGTCTAGTTTAGATTAATTCCTCCTCAGAAAGAATTCCTGTTCAGAACTCAGTGATTTCTAATCATAAAGACAGTTGTCCTCCTCGACCTCGTCCTGTCTCATTCAGTAAACAGCTGACTGAATCCATCACAGACGCTGAGACGAGATGGACAGGAACAAACCCAGAACCTCCGATCAACCTAACCCGACACTTCCTGTTTGAATCCTAAAATCTGAACCTGTGACGGACCACCGCTCCAAACCTGCAGGAACCTGTCTCTGATTGGTCCTCCTTAAATAAACATGTCAATGAATAAATACATCTTTTTGTTTGTTTGTTTGTTTGTTTGTTTCCTGTAGACGTTAAGACGTCGTCATTAAAACAGTTTGAATGTTTCACACAAACTGTCTGTTTCTGTATCATCATCATCATCATCATCATCATCGTGATCACCATCATCATCATCATCATCGTGATCATTGTCATCATCATCATCATCACCATCATCATCATCATCATCGTGATCATCGTCATCATCATCATCATCGTGATCATCGTCATCGTCATCGTCATCATCATCATCGTCATCATCATCATCATCATCATCGTCATCATCATCATCATCATCGTCATCGTCGTCATCATCATCGTCATCGTCATCATCATCATCATCGTGATCATCGTCATCGTCATCGTCATCATCATCATCATCGTCATCATCATCATCATCATCATCATCGTCATCATCATCATCGTTGTCGTCGTCGTCGTCGTCACCACTGATGTGATGGAATATTAAAAACATTTTCTGTCTGACTATGTTGATGATGATGATGATGATGATGATGAACAGTGCTCAGACTCAGCTGTGTGGTCATGTCTTCTCAGTGAGGTCACTGAAGGTCACTGAAGGTCACAGTTTGTGTCTCTGCAGCTTTAAAGTTTCTGTCTGAATCTGTTTTAGGAGGTGAAACGTTTTCCCTGTCCTCCCTCAGGACGTTCACAACGTGCTCGTCTATCACTGCTGTTTTTCTGCCTTGCTAACCGTGTGTGTGTGTGTGTGTGTGTGTGTGTGTGTGTGTGTGTATGTTTCAGAGCCGCAGCAGGAGGAAGCAGTGCGGAGCTGCCTGACTTCCTCCATGATGACATCTTCAAACACTCCTCTGCAGACACACCCAGCGCTCACTGCAGGTCAGCATCATCTGCACCAGCTGCCGCACACTCACTCCGTCCTCGCCACCAACACACACACACACACACACACACACACACACACACACACACACACACACACAGTGACACACACACTGCTGCTGCTGCTGCTGCTGAGTCAGTCAGAGGGAAACACACACACACACACAGTAACAGTAACAGTAACAGAGAGCAGAGAGAGTGATGCCCACCCGTCCCGGAGGAGGCGGCGTGCCAGTTGGGGAAGGCCAGGTGGAAACAGTCGCACATGATGGCGGTGGCGGCAGAGACGAGGTCCTGGTCCAGGCAGGCAGGGAGGAGGGATGGAGGATGGAGGGTGGAGGTGATGGAGGGTTAGGCAGGTGGTGCCGCTGGTCCTGGATCAGCCTGTGGATCAGCCCGTGGATCAGTGTGTGGTCGCAGCGCAGCGAAAGATGAGCTGCAGAGATAACCAGAGAGAGCTGGCTGCTTCCTTCCTGCTCCGAACGCCGCACTGTCCGACTGAAGGAAACTCCCTCACTGCCCCGTAAACATGGACCTCCAGTGCAGCACACTAACTTCATTATGGGAGGAGCTGCCCCCACCACCCACCCCCACCCCACCCTCAGCTCACACAGACACAACCCCCAGTCCCCCTCCTCCTCCTCTTCCTCCTCTCCCTCCTCCTCCTCCTCTCCCTCCTCCTCTGTTTAGTCTCATTGATCGGTGTAATCGTACAGGGACAATCACCATGTCAGCTTCTGGCTCCAGCACTTACCGGGGGGGGGGGGGGGCATAGAGCCATAACTCAGTTTGACGCTGTTTAAAAGCCTCACTGTGAAGACGAGATGATGAAGATCTCTGATGGGAAGTCGTTCTGGGATCTGAACCACAGACAGTTTTTACTGTCCTGATGAAGTTTGATCTTCAGGACCAGTTAAAGATCCTGATGTCAGTGACGAGTCAGCGGACAGAAACTCAGGTTTCATCCTGTCGTCTGTCAGAAGACTCAGATCAGATCAGATGGGATCAGATCAGATGGGATCAGATCAGATGGGATGAACCTCTCCAGACAGATCTACAGTAAAATAAATACAGTATAAAGACATCTCTCCCTGAGACTGAATAAAAACATCAGTTGTTTCTCCCTAATGACAACATGATCAGTTTGTTTCCCTGTAAATACTGGAGTATAGGGGTGAGGGTGGAGGATTAGGGTGGAGGATTCCTTTAACAGAGCAGCCTGCTGTCCTGAAACAACACACTGATCATGTGCCTGACTCAGCCAATCACATCGCTGACATCATGACGGAGGAGACTCTCAGGTTAAAAGCTTTTTAAACTGGATCGATGAAGGCGTGGCTGCTGACCAACAACATCAGGCTCCACCACTGGGTGGAGGTTATTACTGATACTGACTGTGTGTTCACACAAGTGAAGGTTATTACTGATGGTGTCACAGGTGGAGGTGTGCAGGATGATAAGCTCCTCCCACATCATGTGTAAACCTGTCTGAGGATGATTCATCGTCCTGCTGACCGATTTGTCTCCTCAGATCAGAACCAGTCACTGCTGCACTCACACACATCTGTGGGTGCTCATACTCGTGCACGTGCTCGTGAGTGGTGTTTGGAGGGTGGAGGCTAGGTGGTGTTTGGAGGGTGGAGCCTGAGTGGTGTGTGGAGGGTGGAGGCTAGAGGCTGACTGGTGTTTGGAGGGTGGAAGCTAGGTGGTGTTTGGAGGGTGGAGGGTGGAGGCTGGAGGCTGATTGGTGTTTGGAGGGTGGAGGCTAGGTGGTGTTTGGAGGGTGGAGGGTGGAGGCTG